AAAATTATCACAATTGATTGAAATATTAGAAAAATCAAGGAAAATTTATTAAAATTTTGTTTATTTATTATATACAAATTTGATTAAATAAAGGAAATTATATACAGAAATTTATTAAAATTATATACAGAACTTTATTAAAATTTCGTTTATTTATCATATACAAATATGATTAAATAAACGAAATTATATACAGAACTTTATTAAAATTTCTGTATATAATTTCTGTATATACACATTTACAAAAATATTTGTGTCGACTTTCATCAAAATTGCAAGTTGACATATTCTGATAAGAATTAAGAGTAAATACTTTCAATTTTAAATCCAATTAAAACAACTTTTACTAATTAATTACTTGAAAAAATGCAATTTTTTGAAAAAATTAAGCATTATTATATGAATTTTTATACAGTTTATGTGTTAAAATAAAGAAAAACGCGAAACAGGTAACTAAAGCGCATTTATCTATCGTTCTAGCGCATTAAAAATTATCTTAATTATATAAAAGTCTACTTTTTATATAGATAAAAACCTTTTACAAGTGTTTTAAGCACTACCCCCTTGTTATTATTACGTTTCTAGTATGACAAAACTTACCTTTTAAAGTGAAAAGTGGAAGGAGAACTGTTCATGCCCACTGTATAGTGAGGTATATACTGGTATGATCACGTCTACGCAGACAGGTACGTCGTCGTCATTGATTGATACTGTTGTCCACCCTAGATGGCGTTGCAATAACTTCCTGTGACAAGGGGAGACCGAGAAGGGGGGTTTTTATGTTCTTCCTTTTACGAAATGCAACTTTTGTAATGTTTAGGAGCGATGATTTTGCTTGGAAATTCTCCATAAAAATTATGCTTTAATTGTTATTTTATGCTTAAAAATTGTTATAAAATGTTAGGAATTTAGTAAAATATACTATTTTAATTATAAAGACGAGCGAAGTTAGATTATTTTTAAATTAAAGATAAAAGTTGAGAAAATATTCTTCTGGTTTCTGTTCTATTATAAGGATGATATCCACCAATATCATCATCCTTATACTAAATTTAAGCGAATGTGTCGTCAGTGCCATTATCCTGGTGTTACTTTCATGTAATATGTCATGGATATATTTATCCCTGTATTACATTCAAGAAAGGAATAGTCGAACGATATGGTTTCCTAGCTCTTTTTTTTATATAAAATAGTAATTTATAGAATAATTTGGTTATTGGGGCATTAGGTAAATCCATATCTTTAAATACGTTGTTAACCTATTTCAGTTTATCATTATAAGCAATTTTTTGATATTGACCAAAAGAGAAAAATTTGACAATAATTCTTTCCATCAATGGCAATAGCTATTATTTGAGTTGTTACAATGATCTGTAAAGCTATATCGTGATTATAATTTAATTTAAAAAAATGCAAAACAGAAAATTTAAAGTCTGTACCATGTGCAGATACCATATTAACCCTCAATGCGTTAAAGTAATATCCACTAATGATAATTTTCACTTTCCCAGCTAATATGTATATAGGCCCTATAACAATGGAAAGTACTGGAATGGTGTCAAATTTCACTCTCTGGGTTTTTTGCAAATGTTGAGTTTTGAGATAACATGAGACCCAAAAAAGTCAAGAAAAAAACCGAGATTCTGTGTAGGTGTGTTGGCGTCTATTTCGCTTAATAGAGAGGTTGCAGCCGACGTTTTCAACGCGAAAACGTGTACGTCGGACGTTCAGCGCCGCTGTCCTGTAAGCCTAGAAGTTTGAAAATGGCGTTTGGAACGTCGAGCATGATTCCACTGACGTTCCAAACTCCATTGTCAAACGTCTAGGCTTACAGGAAAGCGGCGCTGAACGTCCGACGTACACGTTTTCGCGTTGAAAACGTCGGCTGCAACCTCTCTATTAAGCGAAATAGACGCCAACACACCTACACAGAATCTCGGTTTTTTTCTTGACTTTTTTGGGTCTCATGTTATCTCAAAACTCAACATTTGCAAAAAACCCAGAGAGTGAAATTTGACACCATTCCAGTACTTTCCATTGTTATAGGGCCTATATACATATTAGCTGGGAAAGTGAAAATTATCATTAGTGGATATTACTTTAACGCATTGAGGGTTAATATGGTATCTGCACATGGTACAGACTTTAAATTTTCTGTTTTGCATTTTTTTAAATTAAATTATAATCACGATATAGCTTTACAGATCATTGTAACAACTCAAATAATAGCTATTGCCATTGATGGAAAGAATTGTCAAATTTTTCTCTTTTGGTCAATATCAAAAAATTGCTTATAATGATAAACTGAAATAGGTTAACAACGTATTTAAAGATATGGATTTACCTAATGCCCCAATAACCAAATTATTCTATAAATTACTATTTTATATAAAAAAAAAGAGCTAGGAAACCATATCGTTCGACTATTCCTTTCTTGAATGTAATACAGGGATAAATATATCCATGACATATTACATGAAAGTAACACCAGGATAATGGCACTGACGACACATTCGCTTAAATTTAGTATAAGGATGATGATATTGGTGGATATCATCCTTATAATAGAACAGAAACCAGAAGAATATTTTCTCAACTTTTATCTTTAATTTAAAAATAATCTAACTTCACTCGTCTTTATAATTAAAATAGTATATTTTACTAAATTCCTAACATTTTATAACAATTTTTAAGCATAAAATAACAATTAAAGCATAATTTTTATGGAGAATTTCGAAGCAAAATCATCGCTCCTAAACATTACAAAAGTTGCATTTCGTAAAAGGAAGAACATAAAAACCCCCCTTCTCGGTCTCCCCTTGTCACAGGAAGTTATTGCAACGCCATCTAGGGTGGACAACAGTATCAATCAATGACGACGACGTACCTGTCTGCGTAGACGTGATCATACCAGTATATACCTCACTATACAGTGGGCATGAACAGTTCTCCTTCCACTTTTCACTTTAAAAGGTAAGTTTTGTCATACTAGAAACGTAATAATAACAAGGGGGTAGTGCTTAAAACACTTGTAAAAGGTTTTTATCTATATAAAAAGTAGACTTTTATATAATTAAGATAATTGGACTGTCCGGATGGTAACATTTCAATCGGTCCGAATCGTACGTGCGACGAAAATATGAAATGAAATGGTTCAAATTTTTACAAAATATTATTATCTATTGTGAAATTTTGTCGCCCCCACTACGCTATGCCACTGGTTTGAAGACAGTTGGAAAGAAGCATATTTTGTCCTGTCAAATAAGACGGATGGACAACTTGTTGCGAAAGTGTAATATTAAAAAACTATAATATTGTTCGTCATTATACCATGAAACACAAATCATTTAATGACACTTTTCCCTAAGGATCTTTAGTAAGATATGAAAAGTTAATTTTATTTAAAAATACATTGCAACAACAAAGTTATTTCAGTGCGTTATCACAAAATTCAGCGGTGACTAAACAGCATATGAAATTTGTTACATACTTGTTAAACATCTGAAACAATTTACTGACTCAGAGATTGGGAAGGAATGCTACATCAACGCTTCCAATGTATTTAATTCTTTATAAGGAAATTTTTCCTAAAATTAATTTTAGCAAAAATTTTCTTATGAAGAATTAAACCAGAGGCATAGATTATCTCGATATTATTATTACTTTTCTGGAGAATAATAATGTTGATATAAAAAAAAATCCAGCAACGAGAGTTGCCTAACTTTCCCGGCTGTTATGAGTTTTTATTTGAAAAAATAACTTTTATATTATTAAGCAAATAAATAAAATTGTGTATGGCGCCATCTGTTATGAGATTTTGGTTTAAAAAAGTTTTTATATTTTTAATTGCTATCAAATGACAAAAAGCTTACTTTTGAGGATTGTGATAAGTTTTATAAAAAAAGAGAAAAGTGTAAATATTAATGAAAAATAAAATCTTCATGAAGTTCTACCTCTCTGGAGATATGACACGTCACCTGTTTATCTCCTCACCCACTCGACCTCAAACATCAAAACTTAACATCAAAATTTAATAGCATAAATGCCCCTCAAATACAAGCCACCATACCAAATTTCGTTTCTTAATCTTCATTCCATCCCGAGATAATGGAGAGGTTGCGGCCGACGTTTTCAACGCGAAAACGTGTACGTCGGACGTTCAGCGCCGCTGTCCTGTAAGCCTAGAAGTTTGAAAATGGCGTTTGGAACGTCGAGCATGATTCCACTGACGTTCCAAACTCCATTGTCAAACGTCTAGGCTTACAGGAAAGCGGCGCTGAACGTCCGACGTACACGTTTTCGCGTTNGGGGAAACACGGTAGTAAAATAATTTTAATATTAATAATAATAATTTAGTAACAAATTTATTCATAGTAAAATGTACTCGAGGGCCGTAAAAATTATTTGGCGGGCCGTATACGGCCCGCGGGCCGCCAGTTGGACAGCGCTGCTCTACTGGATAAAATTCGGTAATTTAGCGGCACTGGAATGTAGTAATAATGTTTCCACAAAAAATCAGGATATCACTGTTAGAGAGAGTTTGCGTCACAGATGCGGGAAAAGTCCCGTCATCAAGTGGTACAATTCCTTACTTGTCATCTCAATAATAGTCTGGTAATCCTTTGTAGAAACATTACCAGTTGCACCAAATTACTGATTTTATCCCATTTGACACATATATTTATTCTCATAAAGTACAACGTTTTTCCTGTTTTCTATAAGATGAATCACGTTTTCTCGATGTTATAATGATTTTATACACTAGAAACATTTATAGCAACCACAAAATAAACTTCAAAGTTATTCATTTGTGCAATTTTCCGGAGAATTTCGTTTATTGTTTGAATATTTAAAGTATATGTAGCCGAGTTACTGTCATTTTTTTCAGTTAAAACGATTATATATCGATTTAAGCACTTGTTATAAATGCTTTATTTTGCAAGAGTATGATCTGTATGCTTATTTATATGATCTGTATATTAACTTTTATTAAATTTTAGCCACGAAGAGATGGCAGCTGAAGTGAAGATTTTCAGTGATGACGCTCTGAATATATCAGCAGAAGCATTCCAATTAGCTAGAAGCACTGTAGATTCTTTAGATAAATTGAACAGAGAAGTGTATGCCTTAAATAAAAAGTAACATTTCTTCTTTCTCTGCTTTTCGAACACTATATAATAGGTATATTAATGAGAAGTTTTTCTTTAAGGCTGAATGATGTAGAAGATATGATAAACAGGTCGAAAAAATTATCACAGGATGCGCATAGAGAAGGCGAAGAAGCTTATGACAAGGCACTAGACGTGTACACTGACGTGCATTCATTGATTATACCTGAAGTTAACGAGAGAAGAATGAAAGACGAAGCAGCTTATATTATTGACGAGGTATGCGAATTACACAAAGATTGTTACTACATAATTTATGAGATTTAAAACTTTACTATTTCAGGCTCAAAGAATTCGTAGAGAAGCGGACGAAGTAGAGGATTTACATAAAGGTACCGTCGACAAACTTCAGAATGCGTTAGAAAGCTTGCAGGATCTTCTGGATGCTGCAAATTATCAACAACAGGCAAGTTTATCTTTATCATGTTAAATTAATTTTTGATATTACATCGGATTTAATTATAAAAAAATTCATTGAATAGTTAACGGACGAGTTATTGGGGGATACAGATTCTGCTCTTTCCAAAGCTCTAGACGCAATTAAATTAGGGGAAGACACATTAAAAGACGCACAAAAGACTCTGGAAACGTTGAAAGGTTAGCTTAAAAGAAAATAAGAAGTCGAAAATATGCCGGAAAGTTTAGTTATTGTCCAAATTTTACGTTTCAGGATTCGACAAAGTCGTTCAAGATAGCAAAGATAAAGCCGAGGATTCTCTGAAAGATATACCTTTCATCAGATCTTTAATTAAAGAAGCGGAAGACAAAACTAAAGAAGCCAACGATGCCTTAGGAAATGCAAAGCAGGATGCTTTCGAAGCACGTGACATAGCGCAACAAGCTCAAAGGATCGCGGAACAAGCTTCGAAAGTATGTCGATATTTTCTTATCAGTAAAGATAATTATGCTTATGATTTATATACTTTTGGTTTTATTACCACTAGAAAGCTAAAGACATTCTTCAAGAAGCAGACAAAACAATGGCTCTGGCAGATAAACTGAAGGAACAAGGAGAAGAACTTTCCATTCACATAGACGATGCGGAGGAGAAACTTCGAAGCGCTGAGAAACAAGCTGCCGACGAAAATCAATTAGCACACGAGGTACTGTACTAGAAAATCTTTGTTGTACAATAGTCTAATCTTTAGTAAGAGTTCTCGGAGAAAATAACGGTGAAAAAGTTAAGATAAAGTTAAGTTTGCTAATCTTTCATTAATATTAGGTTAGTTGCCTAGATGATATAGTGTTCTCATATTGCTGCAAGAGGGAGAAAATCAAGAGGAACATTACACTCCTTTTGACTTTTCATAGTTGTCAACACATCTAGGAAATTCAAGAGCACTTTGCAATGCATTGTTGTACAGAGATTTAGTTTAATAAATAAATTTGAACTCGAACACTATTGGTCCTACTCCATAGTGAAAATCGTAAAAGTTTTTACAAATTAATTTAGCCCATACTTTCTTTTCCTTCTCTCGGGATATTCTCATTACCGAGGCTCTTCCTCAATCAAATATTACCTTTATTATTAGACACCATTACGTCCTTACTTAATGTTAAATTAATAATTATTATTTTTAAACGAAGCGACATGAATGCTTTGCATTCTCATCTACTTAACACGAAATTTTTCTGTTAAATTTAGGTCCTACATAAGTCTGGAGAAATTAAACACGATGCTCTTAACGTCGCCAAGAACGCTAACGATGCTCTCGACGATATTTACGACATCTTAAGACAATTAGGTACGTACTTTTTAATTACAGATTGCATATAATGTTATCCTAATTATATATACATCCCTTGTTAGATAATCTGGATGACGTTGATGGATCCCTGTTGAACGAACTCGAAAGGAAACTGTTGAGAGCTGAGAAAGAGATGAGGGATTCGGATCTGGATGCCAAAACGGCCGATCTCAGGGATGCTAGGAAAAAACAAGCCGGATGGATGAGGGATTACGAATCAGAGATTGAGTTGTTGGAGAAAGAAGTAGAAAATATAGCGGCTATACGCGCTTCTTTACCCGACGGATGCTATAGACGAGTTAAATTGGAACCAGCCGAAAATGCGTAGGATTTTTTGTTTTTTAAATAATTTAATGTCTATTCTTTAACGTCGCTAAACTTCTAATGTTACTTAAAAAAATGTTATCGATGTTTAATATGGTATCTACACGTGTTGAGAGATCTACTTGTTCCAGATTGCGATAACGCATCGACTGTCTTTTAAAATTTGTGCACAAAAAGTAATTAAATTACTGTTGAAGTGTTTTATACGTATCGTTGAATTCTCTTTTTTTTCTACAAAGAAATTTAAAGGATAAAGAATTAAAATTGTAATTTTATAACGAGCCCAAATCTATATACGAGATTCTCAATAACTACTGTCACATAAATCAATTAGTCTAAACTTACTCTACAGAAATTTTTGTCATTCATACTTCACGAATTTCGTTTCTAGTGACAATTCTCGTAGTGTGCGGATCCTCAGACCACTTTCAGAGCGGCAGCAGCTATCTATTATGTGTATTATTTTTAAAAATACGCTGATACAATCACGAATTTCGTTACGGAACATCGTTTAACGAATATATACGAGTCACTTCCGTCACGAACCGCGTTCAACAATCGTGTGCATACACGTATATAGGTGGTACCTCGAACTCGAATGCTCCAGAATCCGAACAATTTCTTCCAGTAAATTTTGCCAAAAACTTCGAACTTTTCTTGAAACTCGAACACGAAGATGGCCATTTTGTACGATGTATTATAGTATATCTGCATTTACTTTTTCATTATTTTTAATCTATTTTTTATTTTCATTGTTTTATTCATTTATTAGGGCATTAAATTGTGTAATTTTAGCGTAAATTATGACGTTTTTAGAATTAAAGTGGGCACTTTTGGATTTTGGGAATGGATTAACTCACTTTACAGTATTCCTTACAGAAAAAAATTGCTTTGCAACTCGAACGTCCTCTAGAAACGAATTAAATTCGAGTTTTGAGCTATCACTGCATACAAACGGTTTGTAGGTCTTTTGGGAACATATTGTCTCTTCCACGTGTCTCAAAACATATGCTCGGAATCCTCGAATGTACCTTGTGACACACGCTCATTGTTTTATGCTATAAATTATATACGAAATATGAAATTTAATAAATAAGTTATACTATTTTATGGCTGACACAATTTGTAACGTCGCTGGGAAACATTTTCTTTCACCCGAAGTTATAAACTTGTGATTTTATTCCTTTTATCTGGAAGAAAATTCTAGATCTGATTCAGATATGAAAGAAAATCCTGGGAAGAATCTTCTTGAAGTTCTTTCAAGTAAAGTTCTAGATGAATCTTCTAAATGAATCTTCTAAATGAAGTAGAACTCCAAAATTTCAAATACTGTAAATCAAAGATAACTATAATTAAAGTTAAAGAGAGGTTATTTTATTCTTCCGAATGTATGTAAATACTCGTAGCACGAAGAATGAGTTTTATCTTTTTTACTTAATAAAATGACAGAGCCACTTTTCGATTTCCAGAAATCATTCAGCGCATTAAATATTGATAACACATTTTTAATTACAGTAATTATTCATAATAATTAAACGAAGAAATTAATTAATTAATGTAGTTTCGTAATTGTATCTGTATCTAGATAAATACGTCAACAAACAATAATATTTTGCGCTGAAATCATATTATGTTTTTATATTAAACAGCATAAGAAAACCTAAAATTTCGGCATTAATTTATTAATTAATAGCATCAAAAATTTCATAAAAGCGTTTGCGAAAGTCTCTAGAATCTGTTGAAGAATGTCATTAAAATAAATTTTTATGAAAATTTTTTGATTCTGATGAAACCGTGTTGTTGTTGATTACCTTGCTTCTTAATAGACACATTACGGTGACGTTATTCAACACTTGGCAGATAATCCAGTACTTTATTCAGTTGGAACGCTATTTACAATTGCGTTTCGGGCATTGGCCCCTCTTCAGCCAACTCAAAGGCACATATCACGAGCGTACAGATGTCGTACAGGATGGACACTTTCATATTCCATATATCAAGTGGACAGTAAACAGATTCGAGGCTAACTGCTTGGTTACTGGGCTTTCGAATATGACATTCTGTAGTTATGTTCGTATATCATATCAAAATTCACACAATAACTGTTGTAACATTTCCTATGACGAGTTTCGCGTAAAGTCATCCCAGCGACACTATTTGGTCTGTAGCTTATATACGGACATCAAATTTACACTATCAGTTGTAGCCTTACATAGAACAAGTCTCGCATACAGTTATCACAACCATGTGATAACTGTATGCGAGACCGAAGAGCCAGCTGTATCCGAACGGCCTATACGCGCGCGCGGGAAATAATACATTACGGGAGGACTTTTATGGGGAACTGGCCTCCTATTCAGTCGTTATTGGCAAGGAGAAAACCCGGAAAATTCCAAGCAGCCAGCCTGTCCGATCGCGGCGCGAACCCACGACCGAACTTCCCAGTGTTTAGGGTCTGGTCACCGCTATGATCGGCAAAGGAGTCCACTCGCCCACTGGTGGGGGCAATAAAGAGTTGATTTACAAATTTGCCTTTTAAAGTGTCAATTTTTAAGCTTTTCGTGGTCAGAATATTTTTGATGCGACCGAGATACACCTGTTGTAAGACCAACACAATATAGAACTACACAGTGAATGTTGTGTGTTTCAATGAGGTTAGTGTTTTTTTTTTATGTAAAAATTACTGACAGCAATGAAAACTGATTTTAGTGTTGTGACGTAAATAAAACTAACAAATTGTGTGACTAAATAGAAAACAGATTGAGTCCTGACGTCAATTTAATCTATCGGTTTATCAATTAAATATCCATTAAATTAAAAAGAAAAGATCGTATAATCCAAAATTAATTGTGATGAATCTATTATTGTGTCTTCCATTGTACAGATAATACTAAACAAGATTGTTTAACCATATTGTTTTGAACGAATGAATCTTTCTTAACAACTTACGTAACAAATTCTCCATTTCCACGTATACAAAAACACGAACATTCCTCAGACGATAACTCAAACGGTGTGTAAACATCCCGTGACGAAATTCGCGGCCATGTTCTCCTCTTAAATTAGATTACTGCAACGTTATACAGTAGAAGTAGAGATATAAATACAGTAGAGCATCGATTATCCGACCCCCGATTAACCGTCACATCGGTTAACCGACTGCGTTCTAGTCGGCAAATTTAAATGTCCACTGGTGATGCGGCGCTATAATATTTGGCTATGTCTTGGCTACTTTAATATTTTCGTTAAATTTTTGGTGTTTTAGCTGGCAGCACTGGCTCGACCATGAAAGGGTTGCCAGTATTTAAACGAGGCTTAATTTTCTAATTATGAGTGGTTGTTTGTTTTGTAAGCAATAAAATAATTTAAAAATAATTTCTAACGACACAATAGCGACGATTATTATTAAAAAAAAAATTTGTTAGGCTTAACATCGATGAAAATTCAACGCGAAGTAGGTTAATAGCTATAATAATATACTATACTAATAATGTATTTTTCATACTTTTCGGTTATCCGTTTTTTCAGTTATCCGACCAACCCCAGTTCCCAATTGAGTCGGATAATCGATGTTTTACTGTATAAGCTACTGGAGAACAAAATGATATCAAATAATTAAAATAAAAACAACAAATTTATTTCAGGATGGAAAACAGTTTAGATTATCGGGCTGTAAGATTGATACCGCTACTAAAGCAGTCGAGGTAGACAAATCAAGTAGATGGCAAAGAAATACTGTAACAAATCTCGAAAACAAACTAGAAATATATTCACAAAATTTAAAACAAACAACAAGATCGATAAAAAATTCATAAAAATTTTTGTTGTAAATTCTAAAAATTAATAAAATAATTTCTAGATTAAAACCAAGTAAAACTACATTCTCTTATCCGAATTCGAGTGATTTATTTTGGCAGACAAACAAATAACGTAGAAATACAAAACTGAAACTTTAATTACCAATAACTTCATATTCACAAAATTCATCATAAAATCCAAATGCATTTCGGGTAAAGTTTATTGGACACCTTGACCGGTAAAACCGCTCTGGCATCTGGTACGACTACGCTGTACAGCACCCCTATCGGGTGGGAGACAAGTCCCCCAGCCCAAGTGCCAAGCAGATATTTATAGCAACCATTCACAAAAAATTGCCATCATCGCCCGGCCCGAAGACCGAGCTTGGTTACTAGTGATCCTTACAATCAGGCCTAATCAGTGGACATAATGAACTTTCTTTCTTTCTAGTATGGAGATTCTGGCCTGATCGCCTTTTCTCCGAATAATGAACTTTAACAATTTCTGTTCCTTTTATGCTGGGTGATTTTTTNGAGTGAAGTAAACTCGCGAATATCTTTTGAATAACTTTCCGCGTTCATACGATTCATTCACTTTAAATACTTTAATTAAACTGAATGAATATAAAGCAATTAAACTTGAACTGCAAATTACTCTAATTTTCACTTCGTTACATACACACACACAGCACTTTCCTCTGTAAATTTTATACACTTACACCGGCGAAAAATCTAATTTTATGGGATAAAAACACAAAAAATTCCATTTCTTAATTCAATAAAAGCGTTAAACATTTATTTCTAATTTATATAAAGTCTAATTTGCTTAATTTATATAAAATTGGTGATGTTACTAATGCAATAATTTAAAAACAAATAAAATATTTTAGCTAATTTGTCTGAAAGTCATTTTGAAAAAAAAATTTTTTATTTTTATATTTAAAGAAAAAAAATAATAATTTTTCACTTTCAGAAATGTACAGAAATTATCTTGAAATCGATGCGATTTATCTGAAATTTATTATTTTAAATGAAATCGATCAGTAATCTGCATAGAAATTTATTAATTTACTTTTTCATATCGTAAAATTCATGTGTTCTCTTATCTGAATGAACAAATTTATCTTGAAATTTACAATTATTTCGAATGAAATCGACTAATTGTCTTGAAATTTTAACATATCTTAATTACTCGGTTTCAATTAAAATACTTGTAGTTATTAATTAAATTAAAATTTACATTTATCTACATTGAAATTAAGTAATTCGAATAGAATTTACAATTTATTACGTTTGGAATAACAATAATCTTATTCGAAATTCACAAACTAATTTAAGTGAATTTCATTAATGTCGATTAACAAATTTCATCTACTCCTAATTAAGATAGAAGGCTGAACCTT